CAATATACACTTCTCGCTAGAAATCTAATCAAAAAGCGTTTTAATGGCCAAACTATCCTACAATTTAGGATTTTACAGAGAGGGTTATTTGTGAATAAACGACCCTCTGTAACGTTTGCAGTCAACGGGAGCACTAGAGGTCAAAAACTTTAAAACGTGATTATAGGTCGTATTAAGCGCTTGAACAAACGACCTATTTGGTCGTAATAAGGGCTTGAACAAGTGTATGCAGCAGGAGTTTGAAAGCCCAACCCCTTATTTGGATGACCCTTTAATCCCCCATTTCAGCTTTGATTCGTGCGCTTATTACGTGAGTTTTCTCTACCTCTTACATCTTTTATCATCACTCTCTGCTGCAAATCTCTTTTGACCCAAAGGGAATCTCAAACTCTAGGTGAAGAATGAATCATGCAGGAAAGAGATGAAACACTGATAGTGAAGCTAAAAGAGAAATCAACCGGATATCAAATGCAAGAGGTTGTTTGGGGTATCCAGCACATCACATGCTGCTGTGCTAGACTGCGTGATGTCAGAGAAGATGCAAGCTCCCTTTTTACTTTGCAGAACAAAATCACACTCATCCTAAGAGAATCTGTTTTTATTCTCACAACATGTTGCTTTCTTGTATGTGAATTTACAACTGCATGTGCATCAGTGGCGAACCGTGTCTATCACAACTGGACCTTCTGTAGACAACCCCCCGGATTCAAAAATGTGGTTGTTCTAGTCAGACGTACGTCACGGAGGCAGTCACTTTGCGTTGGACGGCCTTTTTTTAAGTCCATCTTTTCACCGAATGGTCGTCTTGAAAAGGGTACTAACAACAATTCTGCATCAACATCATCTTCACCTGTTGCCTTTTCGACGTAAAAAACAATACAACTTCAAATGAATTGCTACGTCGCATTTATCTAGATCCTCTGTCTCTGTCTTCTAGAGTACCCTGGAACCGAGGGAAACTCTGAAAGAATACGCCCATTGGCTACAAATCAATATATGATTGGTTGATCAACCTGTAAATCCAAACGTACGCTCTCATTCAGTGTAAGGGCCAGGGCATTCTATCAAGGACCTGACGGTTCACCACTGATGTGTGTGTATAAAAAAAACAGAGTGGAAAACTGAATTTCCCCTTCCGGGGATCAATAAAGGTCCACCTTTAATCTTTCTTTATCTTTCTTATTGTAAAAGAGTTGCATTTCATTAGGAATTAAAACAAATACAGAAGAAGAAAACTACAAGTATTTCCAATTATTATCGGGGCATTAATATCCCCAGTGACCAAATCCCTGCAGCAAGTTTCCAACATACAAAAATCCCAAATGATCTATATTCCAAATATTTTAAACCAAAACTACTGGCTTATTTGCATAACAGGATCTGTCCATATAGCAAATTAGTCCAAAATTGGTTCTACGTAGACCACATTAGGCATAATATTTCCAGCGTGCATATGCATAATCAAGTTGAAATGAGTTTTAGTGAACAGCTGAGCTCACCGTCTGAAATGAAAACCAACCCAGGCACTTTGATGGTCTCTGAACGAACCCCAGAGGACAAATATTGCACTCCTCAATCCTGATCTCAATCAATATACTCTGGCAGAATGGGACATTGATAGCAAAAATTGTGTTTTTGTAGTGACATTTTGAAACTTGCAGGTGGTTGAGAAGTGTTTCTGTACAAAGCAAAGACACAGTGGCCCGAGCCAAAGGGGCTTTAACACTGAAACTAGCTCTAAATGAGAACATGTTCTCACTTTTATTTTCTCTAAGTTTATCTTGTATTTCAACTCTGGTACTTTGTGGGGGTGTATTACCTTATTAGTTTGCTCTTTCCTCGCAGCCATCTAGATGGAGGAGAACTTAATTTATACCATTAAAAACTTTTTGCAGTTGCACTTTAAAACTAGCCTCTAAGGAGTACCTACCACTTGTTTGTTGCCATTTTCAGAGGTCAGTATTTCATTTTAAAGCAAAAACAGATGACATACATGAACACAAGCAATGTGATCTACACTGAGACCAGATGCTTTTATAGCTACACACGGTCATTGACTGCACAGGAAGCTTTTTACACTTGAAGTGAAGGCACAATCATTCTTATCTAGTGTGAAACCTTTTCGAGGTGTGTTTCTAAAAAAAATTAGAAAAGTGCCGGTCAAAGGTCTTCTTTGTTATTTATTGAGCTTTAAAACAAATGAATAACGACTCTATATAATAATATAAGAATAATACACAGACGGAGCCTCTCTTTTCCTCCCCCTCTCCTGCGTGTCTCCGTCAGCAGCAGCTGATCTCTGATCTCTCTCTCCTGTCCGATTAGACTTCACTCGCGATTATGTCCATATCGATCAAATCTAGCTGGACCTGGCTCGAAACACTCGGTTGTTGTTGTTGGCGAAACACATCAGCAATGACGGGGGTGACACGGGGGTGAGCAGGAGAGGTGGGGAGAGGCGGGGATATGGCATATAGGGCGTACACACGGAGCCGTTTGACACCCCCGAGCGTTCCGTCCGCAGATCTACCCACCTTGGGACCCGTTATCGTTTGAGGGGTCCGTTTCTGCGGTTCCGTTACGGCCTCGTGTGAAAGAACCGTCTATACGATAGAAAATAGTAGCAGATGCAACCCGAACCGTCTCCATGTAAACGGGCCTCAGTCTCAAGATTGTGTAAGAACTCAGTACTGGTAGTATCCTTTTCTCATCAAAGTCTAATCAGGAATTCAATGGTGGAAATACTGCCACCTGTCTCGGTCAATAAATGGCTCAGAACATCATGCACATAGGAACAGAACGCATTTCATTATCCCCTCAAAGTAAAATTGAAAATCAGATAGTTATGTGAGGTTTTGAAATACCTACCAGATGAAACTCAATCATCTTCCCTGCACCATTATCCTTATCATCCTAGTTTGTCAGATACTTCTACTTAAAATACTTACAATATGCAAATATTTTATCAATTACTATCTGTTCTTTACATGTGGATCATTTACATAAGACCTTGTCATCAATTGAACAGGTACATGTATTTTAGCAAATGTAGCTTTTTCTATGCACTTTTGTCCTGAATACCAATTGGCTTTATTACATGACGTCAGAGTGTGCGTCATTATCTGTTGTGTGAGGTGTCACAAATGAGGCTACATTTTGTGCAACAGCTGCGTTCAAAACATCTATTGATGGCGGACGTGGTGTGCATGCATGCTTTTGTGTCCCAGCCTGAACACCAGACTTTTTTTCTTCTTTCCTATCAATATAAGCATCAATAAACGCCAATAACAAACAAACCTATGTAAGTCTGGATAACATCTTTAATTCATAATATACAATATTACATTTGACAAGACATTCTGGAATGAGCCAACAAATTCAAGATTCAAGGCTTTTATTGTCATTTGTTCATAGCTACAGTGTAGATATGTCAATGAAAATCTTAGGTCACAGGCTCCTCCAACGGTGCAACATAATTAAACAGGCATAGTGCAAGTAATACAAATAAAATAAAAAAGACTCTATTGTGGATTAATCATCACCTTAGTAATATCTTGTATCTTATCAAATCAAATGCTCTTGAGGCAGGATATTGGGAAAGAGCTTAAAGTCTAATTTTAAAGTATTTGGCATGAACTAAAGACTAGACACTTAGAGAAATGGAAAGGAAAGCCATGAGCGCATTACAAAAACATTCTTATTTTTTAAAAGAATATTTCATTTAACTGAGCATCATACGCAAAAGTGAATGTGTAAACAGAGACTAGCAGAAAACTCCTGGACCGCATCAGTGTAGTAATTCAAGTACAAAGTGTTTGGACTATGCAGTGCTGACGCCACTTAAATATGAGAGGCCTGATGGTTAGGGAACTACTTTTGGAAGCAACAATAATAGTGGCACTTAATAGTAGCCTTTCCGAAGCAAGGCAAAGAGTTTGTCAATTGTGTTTTTTTATTAGAGTGATAGCCAGCATAAGTCACATTATTCTCTGTTTTACAATGAAAACATACACACATACAGACTTTTTAGTATCATGTGACAAAAGTTTGCTTCCACTATGTATAACTTGATGCCATGAGGGAAAAACCTAAAGTTAATATAGAAGCACAGAGTTCTATAATACAGGTCACATCGAAGGGTCTAACTCACTCAAACGATGGCTTGTATCTTAGCTTGTCATTCATCGTGATTTACTGTCGTGTCTTACTCTGATTGTACGATGGCAGGCGTTTCTGTTTTTGGCAAGAGGTTGTCGTGGTTCATTTTCTTCTGTGATGGCTTTCGAGCAAACCCATCACAATTTATATTTCATGGGGAAATGCTGAACTCTTTTAACCTGCTTCTTCCATTCACATATGATTGAATGCTACTATTATTTCAGTCACAGAATTGATAGAGCAAACATTCTACCCTTAGGTGGGAGTTTACTTTTAATTATGTGAAAGTCTATTTCCAGAAGTCACTACTATGCCGTCCTACATGACAGAGTCACAGGTTGACTATACCAGATTTGGGGGGGTTTACTTGTGTGTTCTTCTGCAGTGTGATGCAAGCTCCTTAGGACATCACAATGATAATATTGGCGATGGCATATGAGGTTTCTCTAGCTGGTGAAAGCTGTTTTAAAGAATGTCAACAGTGGATTCTATTATCATCACAACATTAAGTTAAATGGCTCTGTGTACATCCAACCCGGTATCCAAGCATTGCTGTGTTCTTGTAACATATACATATAGTAATTGTTGTCAGTGCGGGATGTATTTTATGTAAAACTAATTCTATAACTTAACTTTAAATGTTTAAAGCTAGGGTAGGCAATATTTCATTACACAATTATTGTACTCTCCACCAAGAAACTGAAGGTACCAAAATACCCATACTGGATACACATGAATAATGATATACTTGCTACATGCACACATTGAAACTAAAATAAAAGTGTAGTTGTGTTCAGAAAGAAGCTGTGGAGCAGACCATTTATGTTTCTCCTGTCCTGCAGATATTGAGATATTCCACTGGATAAGGGAGACACTTTGAAATGCTGCTGGTGCTACGTGAGAAGTCAGAGGATTATCAGAGGGAGGAGGTTTCGTCCACTGAGGCCAAGACTGCCATACAACATTTCAAAGCAGTCCATCTTAAGCTGTTGAGATATTTCATTCTGGACCAAACTGGCGAACAGCTATGTGCATACTGATTGAATCTGCAGTATCTTCACTGCGTTGTGAACGTTTATATCTTTGTTTTGTTTCAGTAAATCATCATCATATCATTTTCATCATGAGGCTTGATTACTTCTATTCTGTAACACATTTTGCCGAATAATTTGCCGATTTCTTTTTGTTACATAATGGCAAGCTTTACATGACGAACACTGAGGGAACATTTGCTGAATTAAAAACATTTTTAATGAAAGGTGATCATTTAAGTTTAAAGTCAAATGTAAGTGGGCCACATAATTAAAGTCATGTGAATTGTATCTATAAAGAAATAATCTTATTTCCATTGATTAGGATACAGGTTGAAATCATGTCTCTGTATTTAAATGGCTGTAGACAAGATGCATTACTAATTAAAAAAGTTTATAATACGACTACTATTGCTCTACTTTTACCACTCTTGTTGTTGCTTTTCTGTGAAAAGTGAAACGTCTATCAAACAGGCAAGTTCAATTTCAGTTGTTACTGAATGCGAAATCAATTATCTGAAGGCATTTCCATTCCCGTCACCATCTCGATTATTTGATTACTACGTGTTGATAAAAATATGAATCTACTTTATTATTCCTTATCAGTAAAGCATACCCTAAGAGATTGATTGTCAGAAGTTATGCTTGTTTGTCTATTCTTACAGGGTTTAATGCAGGCCAGAAAATGGACAACACAAATTGAAAATATGACAATATAATAGAACATTGATTAGGAGACTGTCACAAGATAACACATTTGCAATCTCAATATCAATGCATATTTCATAATAATTACCTTTTTTATTTTCCCTCATTCATCATCACATAATAATTTTTGGTGGAGCTCTGCCCCCTGGTGTAATACATTATGTTTTAATAATTCATTATCCACATTTATGTTTAGTCCATCCTGCTCGACTACAAGATAGTGAACATTTAGGTAATACATTATTCATTTTAATTAACTTAAGGTCCAAGACAAAACCAGATCAATTTGAATTGAGACCAAAACATTGATGTTTCAAGACCAGTTTTCAGATCAATACTTGAAACACTCCAGCCCTTAGATAAGTTATATATATCACAGTTTGCCTTAAAACCATCAATTATCTTGGTGAAATCCCAGAGTTTTCACGGAATGTAATGGCTGTAATGTTGTCTTGTGTTTTTGTATGCAACAATGAAGAAGTGTGCGTGATTACAGTCTACCACCTAGTGGCCAAGTTGTCTACCTACACCCAAGTCTGCAGAGTACATGGGACTCTCACTATGGAGCTTGGTAATGAAGGTAATCTCATGATAACATTGACAAAGACATTTACCAAAAAGTTTGCTTTTAAATTGATATGCCCTGTAATATTATTAGATGGTGATAAACTGGAGACTACTTATGCAAAGACTTTTATTTGATTAAAACACTTTGAAATATAAAGATTATAAATTCCAACTTACCTATATAAAGATCTATGCACACCTCCATTAATTGTTTCAATAAAAGGTGACCTGTATTCCAGAAAGTATGTTTAAACAAATTATAAAATGGTTTAAAACTACCCTTTTCATATGGCTTGTTGATATCATAACGCAAAACTCAAGGATTTCTTCAGTGGCAACACACCAGTTGTTCTGGTTAATTGCATTTTCAATTCATTAAACACAGTTTATTCAGCTATTTCTGTGTATCAACATCATCTCTCATCAGTGTCTAGACTTTACTGATAAGATAATGGGAACCTCATTGAAAATTGGATTAAACTGTTTAATCTTCTTTTCATTAACATAAACTCAGGAAAATATGAATGGAATAAATTAATTGACATCACGAATAGAGAACAAGAGTGCCTTTGAGCTATGATCTTATTTAAGGAGTACTTAAGCCAAGATAAGTATTGGTCTAACTGGTATGATGCTGCTTTTTATTCAAGTATCTTGTCATGACAGTGGCTACTCTGAGCGAGAAAACGTTTTTTACAGTCACTCACACCGAAAACGGAGTCATTAATACATTAGTTATATAAATAAAGAGTAGCTGTCTTTATACTGTAAAATACAAATGCAGATTAAGCCAACCAAGTCCAAAGAAAATGCATCTATATTTAATTTGGTGGTTCTCTATTTATCTGCTCATTAACTTAATTTTATATGTTTATTTTTACATTCATTTATACAATATGGAGATTTGTGGTGGGAACTTCCTCTTGCTTCTTTATAGATATGAAATGTATAATGTTGTTATTAAGAGTGGGCTGTATATGATTGCTCGGCATCTTTTTCTCTGTTAAAGTATTTGTGTGTGTTTATACATATTTGTATACATATGTGTTACATACATATAGGTATACATGTTTTTATACATCAAACAAAGAATCTAATCTGAATACTCTGATTATCTGGCTTGCTGTCACTCTCTCTTGTGTCAGAGACTCAAACAACAACAAACACAAACTAAAAACAAATAAAAGAAAAGCCATTTTTCCCTCAGTTTATAGACGTAGACACCGTTTTTCATTCTTTATCTCTCAGCCTCTCCTTATTAATGACACTTGTAAAGGGAATTATTAGGCTGTTAATCTCAGGGCAGTCAGGAAGTTCATCACATTCATTCTGGTTGCTAAACCCAATGTCCTGCTTTACAGATGAGGTGCTCTATCAGTTAGACATACGTTTTAACATCCCAATGTTGTAAACACTGTCCATGGATTTAAAAAAACTCATTTAAGTTTGCTTGAATAAAACCTATGAACCCAAATACATATTAGCTGACTGCTACCTGCTGCTGTCACACAAACATTGTAGGTTAAACTAACAAAGTAGTCTCAGTACTATAATACAAAGTCATACACGTCTTGAAACAATTTCTTGTACTCTGTCTGAAGAATTCTGAACCCTCATATACATTTTTTTTTAATTGAAATTACCTTTGAAATTACCTTTATTTTACAGTTCAGGTTGAAGTTGAAATCTAAATGTACTTCCAGGTTTCAGCCTGTTGAGGCCCTGTCTCTCTGCTAGCACTCTGTACCTCTAAGAAGTGAGCTCTATTCAAATATAATAAGCAGTAAATAAACAAAAAAACACACCTGTCCACTGTATTTTCTTCTTTCGGGACAAAAATATGAACAAATATATATTTTAATCATCTCAATTAAAATATTAAATGGTTACGGCATGTTGCAGGTTATTCCTTTCCAGTTACAATTAGATAGTGTCATACAAACCAATGCCAGTGTTATGATAAAACAAATAGTACTTATTAAAGCAATCTCAATCGTAACGTGTAATAGAAAGACAAGATGAAGATTTTCTAATTCCACTAAAGATTAAACTTGTCAAAACTCTCGCATCAATTTACTTTTTAAGATTTCAAAAGCTTGGAAAGTGCTCGCAGGCACCAATGTGAAACAAGCAGAAATAATTGATATATGATAAATTGATATTTGAAACAACACAAACTGTCTGTGTGTGTGTGTGTGTGTGTGTGTGTGTGAGTGTGGCAGATAGGATTGGCTGGATCCTCCATCACGGCTCTGCATGGGCACTGCTGTTCTCCACTGATACATTTCAGTTTCTCTGATCATATTCCACATCCCTATCCATACACACATCGCAGGCCAACATCAGAATTTAAAAATATGCATTTACTATAGAGTTGAGTTGTTTGAAGCACTGCAGCACATCTCTTGAATTTGAAGATATGTTCGGCATTATCATATTCTCTTGGAGGAGATGCACTTTCTGAGCTGAAGTGACATTAAGGACAGAAAGTGCTGATATAAAAAAAAAAACCCTCCTCAGACTGAAAGTTGTTGCACTCTCTGTTGTTTTAACTAATGAGATACAGGGGATCTGGTCTTGCAGGCAACTTTATTTCTGGGTTAATACTTCACTGAGAGGATGTCTATAATTATAACTCCACTACTGGACATAATTCAAATGACTAATGAGCTCGAGGATTAGCAGCGAGGTTCATGCTAATGGAGAAGTCATTCCACTCTGAGACAGATATAAACCTCTCCAGGTGGAATTAGCCTATCTGCAGCTATTTTGAAATCCGCTTACGTGCATTAAGCTAATGATCCCAAAACAGAAATAATTTTCCCTCCAAAACAACACGGAGTGAAACAGTTATTTCTCTCACAAAGTCATCCATAATAGCTTACTAAAGTCTGTCTATTCTGCACTTCTTAAACTTGTAATGGTTAAGTGGAACGACAACACAACATTAGGAGTAGATCGCCAAATAAATGGTACAATTCCCATCTTCAGCTTCTCTCTGTCTTTACACAAAAATATTTCTAACAAGTGCTATTTAGGGAAGCGTAGCACCCTAAAAATGTTAAATGAAATGCCAAAAGGTAAGTAGCACTGTCCCTTTAGTGTTGCCTGCATGTTTTGAAAAAAAAAGCAGTAGCACCTGAGCTTCTTCTGAATATAATCAATCATATGGATAGTTTTGTTTGTCCTGTTGTAATATTATTTCAAACTACACATCATATGTATACATCTCCCTATATAATATTTGATTTGATCAGGTAACACATTTAGTATGAAATGCACCAAAGGAGCACATTACAATACAGCTTTTAAGGGCACCACAAGATGGTGCCGGTATAAAAAAGAAAGACATTCATATTAAAAGATAATAGCCTCTCCATTTTCTTTTTATTAGGTCCCGTAAACCAGGGATCTCATAGAAAGACTCAAAGTGCTGAGAGCTGTTGGCACCATGGCAGCACTTGCCCATGTCAATTTTAACAGGACCAAAACCTTTAACTTTATTAAAAAAACTGTCAACATGATCTGGCTTGTGTTTTTGGATGGTTTTTTCCACCATCAATTCAACCCTACTCCACTAACAAAATTCCATTCCCTGTAATTAGTGAACGGCTTCACACTTATGAGCTCCTCTTAAGACCACAAACTCATCCAAACCACAATGCAAAAACTAAATACGAAAAAGCTGGCTCCTAGGTTTTTTTCCTATCAACTAAAAGAATATGTGATATCAAATTGTTGCAATTTGTATGAAAAGGTGTATTGACGCAAGCATTGGCATAACAAATAGTAATCGCAATAATTCAACCACCC